CATGTAACGATTAGCTCCCTAGGTTGTCTGATCATTGAGCAAGTGGCATTGCAGGCGCCACGTCTTGCCTTTGTGTAGTTGGCCGTCGGCTTCTTGACACACCGCGTGCCACTGCTGTCTTCAGAGGACTGCGCTGTGATGCTCGATGTCTCTGTTGAGTTGTGCTATACGTTTGCGTAGCTTTCTGTTGTGGTGTTGACGTTTCCAGCACCGTTTCAGCAAGTTGCGGGCTTCTATGAGGTGCGCTAGTCTGCTGTCCAGCATCGTAGCCTCCGGCTCCGCTTCTACCGTCTGAGTGGCATCTTTGGTCGTGGCGTTCAACATGTCGGTCTATGCTTCTATGTTTTTAATGGTTTCCGTAACGTTGTCTTCTAATTTCTTTCTGTACTTGTGCCAGTCGACGATTTGCTGTTGCTGCGCTCTTTGCGTGCTCTCTGCGATGGGTATTGTAATTTCGAGTATGCAGTGGCCACTTCCCAACGTCTCCCCGGTGTTCCGCCACGTGACTCCACGCAGTGCCGAGGCCTTGCTTATGAAAGCGAGGTCCGGGTTTGTGGTGTCTCGCTGCGACGACGTTCCGTTTCTCGTAGGTGCGTTGGGGTCTTTTAGCAATTGGTAACCTGCGCCCATTGTTTCGTCGTAGAGACTGTGGCCCTTCGCCGTCGTGTATGGATACCCCCATGCCGTATGTTGAGCGTTGAAGTCTCCACTCAGTAGGGTTACGTTGGAGCCCGCGAGCTGTTGCGCTGTGTGCACAGGGTGCGGGATTTTCGCTGGAAGTGCTTCGGATTGCTGTACACGTTGATAATATAAGTGCTTTCACGGCGCTTGCGCTTCCCGGTGACGATTTCGACCATGCTGTGCTCGATAGCGCTGTTGGGTAGCAGCTCATGATCTATTGAAAATAGATTCTTCTTTACCAAGGTGCAGACCCCCTGCCCTGCGCCTTTCCCAACTGTTCGTGCGCTAAGGGGCTTCGCAAAGGATCTGTACCCCGGTAACGTCGGTGGGGTTTCACTGTGCGTTTCTTGTATATAACGTCGGGTTTCTTGGTGCTTTGCTGTATGTACTGTTGTAACGATGCTTTTCTCCCCTGTATGCCGTTGGGATTCCATTGCCATATAAGGAGATGATGCTGTTGTGTCTGTGCTCTGTTTCTGTGGTTAGCGGTGCCTGTTGCCGTTGTCCCATCAATTATTGCGGTTGGGTGAAGGCCTGTTGTGGGATTAGTCCTGACGCCGTCAGCACGTGTATTAGTGCATCCAACTTAGTCTGTATTCCTTGTGTGGTAGACTGCATGCCATGTACGGGTGTCACCAATGTGTTGAGGCGTGCGTTGATAGCATTGAGGCGATCGTTAGTAGCTTTGATGGCTTGGCTCAGGGTTTCGAAGTTGGCTTTCATGGTCTGTTCTAGTCGATCTTGACGTTCTTCTAGGCTGTCCAGCCTAGCGTTGACTCTTCGTTCACGTGCGTATTCGAGCACTCGCTTCTTGGGTGGCGGTTCGCTTGTCCTAGCAACGTCGATCGTTTCGGGTTCTGGGCTGTTAGCTTCCGTAGTAACTGGGACTTGTACCTCCATGGCTGAGTTTGTGTTGTTTTCCGTTGGCGTTGGGGGTCTTGGTTGAATCTGCGGCGGCGACGGCGGCGGTGTCGGAGTCACCTGTTACTGCTGCTGCTGCTGTGCGTTGATGAGTTGGTTCAACTTAGCGTTCATCTCTTGCATTTGAGCTCTCTGTTCAGCGATGCATCACTTGAACTGATCATTTTCATTGCGTAGTGACTGGGTGGTGTTGTCCTTCGCTTCAGCTACGTGGTTGAGCGGATTGCGGTTCGCCGCTTGCGGGTTGACTGCCTGGGCCCAACTTATCACGTTGTCCGGTCACTGCTGGTTGCGATTGTAATTCATGTTCTCGCTGCGCTTGCCGTCGGTGCTTCTGCCGCGGCTCGCCGATTGTCGCCTGCTTTTGTCCCGCTTCCTCGAGCGGCTGCATCCTCTCTTTGATAGATCTGCTTTGTTCTGTTGTTGTGGTGGCAGTTGCGGGGAGTCTTGCGACGAAAACGTTGACGCCGCGTTACTGCGCTCCCATCTGCGCTGAGTAACTACGAAGGGCACCTTGTACTTGTTCGTACAGCTTTCCGTGCCCGTGGCGGGGGTACCGTTACACAGTTTGCAACGTGGCTTGCACCGCGCCGCGTGGTCTGCCGCCGGGTTAGGTGCGCCACACTCAAAGCAGATCTTAGTTTCCGGCGTGGGGCATACATCGGCTCGATGGTCGATTTTGCCGCATGTCTTGCATACGTTGTGGTGTTGTCTGTATAATCCACACTTTACTATAATGGAGCCGTACTTTATGTAGTTGGGAACCTTTGTTCCTGCGAACAAAATGACGATCGAGGTAGTGTTTCCAATCCTGTGGGCTTCGAGGGCCTACGGGTTTGCTTGGTTAACAATATTCTCGTGCAGATCTTCGGCAGTGTTCTCTACTGCGATGCCACGAATTACTCCTTTCACTGTGCCGTGAGGCGCGGTGCAGTAGGCATGCGTTTCGTAGCTACGGCCCCCAATGTACAGGGAGCGTACGCTTGCGTAGTAACGTGCTCGTCCTTCATCGGGCGTGCTGATCACAATGATGTTCTACGTGGGATTAGTACAGATCGTATCTGCTTTAGCTGCGGTCTTGGGAACGTTGGCTGCCGTTATGACATCGGACATTACGTTGTCAGCTTCGTGTTTCGCTAGGAATAGCACTCCTCTCGGTCGTATTACAATCTTCTGCTCTTCCCGCGGCAAATTCGGCGGCATGCGGGACGCTTTAGTGATTCTCGCTATCATGCGTTTTGCTTGAGCTTCGCTAAATTGCGGAGTTGGCTTGCTGCTTTGGGTAACATCGTTAAGCTGGGGCTTAATAAGGCGTTGGTTTACTTGTTTCCCGGAGATTTTCCATTCCGCGATGTCGCTTGAGTGTAAGTCGTTGCCGCGCACCGCGACTGCGGTGCGGACGGTGCTGCGTAGCACCTCTTGGTCGTTGATCGTGTCGGTGGTCGTAGTGTCGTTGCCACCAGCACAAAAGTCCATGTCTTCCGTAGCAAGGGCCGTGAAACGGTTGTGGGAAACGGCGTTGAGCTGCGATGAGGCCGAGGCCATCTTCGGCGATGAGGAGTCGAGCGTCGAGCCGTCGAGTGGGGCCGGGCGGCCGACGCAGCTGCGCGCCGCGGCCGTACTCGTGCTAGGCCTAGGCGTGGTTCGCCAGGCCTAGCGTCGCACAAGTGAAGAAAACGTCGAGACTTGATGAAAAGTCCGGTTGGCCGGACCAAAAATGGTATCAATCGAGTCCAGGGATGTTCACGGACACTGCAGTGATGATTTCCAATCGATTAAAAGCAATTAAGGCGGCACAATTAGCGAAAACTGCGGAGCTCATTCGGAGCACGTCTACTCAGCTCGGCGACCGGAGCGCCTCCCCTGGTTGGCAAGAAAGTTCCATCAGCGGGATTCTTCTGCAAGGCAGCGCTGCGTGCGTATGCATTCCTTCGACAGATATTTCTGTGGTTTGCTATTCTCTAAAGTGATAACCTTTAAAACGAAGCGTTGCTGCATATGGTGCTCAATTCTGTTAGGTTAACATGGGGAAATTTGCGCCTCGTAGATGGCAGCCATACACATGTTGCCACTGTGACATGTAGTTAAAGGTTCGGAAACAAAAACTAGCCCCGAACACCACGCTACTGCACAACGCTCAGCCACCAGCGGTGCTATTTTGCCCAGCACCGCTTTCATGTGCGCCGGTGACGTCCCGCTGTGACGTACCCCGAAAGAGGTGTATAGAAATGTCCATTTTGGTGGAGCGCATTAAGTTCCTCGAGAGAGCGGTAAGCCGTGACGTCATCATGCACGTCGACGCACCGAACCTTCGCAGCACACTGTCAGCGCAAAAAGAAAAAAAATCTACGCATATGCGCTAAGTGGATGCTGATGATGGAGTAAAACTATAGCTTCTAAGGGCAACAGTGTCTACGTTGAAGTCACCGACTTGTATAAAGGACAGACAGATGGACGGATGGATCGACGTATGAATGGACGGATGGCCGGATGCATGGACGAATGAATAGATAGATGGATGGTCTATATTCAAACCACATGTGAGCTTTGTGTACGGTTTCGTAAACGAATGTTTGGCACGGGCGCTTTGACAGTGCACTCCGCCCGGTCGAATTGAAGCTGGATAGACATCGTGAGGTCTTAAGGAGCTTCGTTGCTTTCGAACAGTAATGAGCAGTAACCTCCTAATGAAGCGTAACTGAACAATAAACAAACTTGACAAGTCTCTCCGCTTGCATATGGGCATGTCCTAGACGATTTAGAGCGAGGAAGAAAATGCGTACGTATGTTCACAGGTGCTTCAAGCGGGCGCCTGCACTAAATGTGATTTGATAGCTAACGGGACTTTACAAAATCTGAGTTTAAGCGTGGCCTTCGAGATTCACGTGGCCGAAAGCAAATCTCTGAAGACTGCGTTTTGCGTTGAAGCGCGTTCCATCCTTCTCAATTGTCTCGAAAGTTGTGAAAGCTCCGGGGTATTAAAATGAAGTTGTGGAAGGAGAACCGGTAACAGAGGGCGGACTGCGCGCTGAGCTCCAGCGAGTCAGCGGTGGACGAAATGGACAGCCCATCAACACTTACAGAAGAGCTCACACGATGCTGAGCTAGAGGCCGTGTACGGTAGTTGGCGATATAAACATGGATTCAAACATATTGCTGTACTAAATCTATGTGAAAACTTGTTCATTACAAAACTAAAGCATGCGCTACAAAAGTACTTTTGTTCACCGCAAAACCAAACAAATAAAGGGTAAGCAAATTTAAGCTGCGCCATTGAATGGTTCCTCATTTTAAGTACGAAAACTCTGGTCACCTATGAGATACAGTTATCTGTAGTCATCCGCATTGCGCATTTTGAGGCACTGGTTTGCAAAATCTTACGAAGTACTAACCTTCTGCGGCACCGATGAGTCCGATGCGAGACCAGCCGCCCCCTGTTCGTGCTTCCGTCGAGTGGCTTGCTTGCGCAGACCGTCCGGCTTCTGTGGGGCTGACATCACCAATGACAAATCACATTTATTCGGCGGAACGGTCAGTTGGCCGCTTCGTCGATTGAATAGCATGTTCATTTGATTTAACGAAGCAGGAAACGAAGATGTGGTCGCACTTTCCGTTCACGTATAGTACAAGCGACCAGAAGAGCAATAATTGTTTAGCAACGAGGCATTGGATGCCAACGCTGCTGAATACTTGATGACTATGAGGTATTCACAGCGTGATTATAATAATTTAATATGCAATAACTAATGTCTCATCTTCCGCCCTGTTCTGTTTTGTTTTAATGGCTTGCTGTGAAGAGCGTGAGGGTTATGTAACGCCGACTACTCTATTTTTATAGGTTCTGCAGCGAAAAAAAAAGTTCTAGTCAAAATAAAAACTGGACAACCACAGAAAGAAAACATACAGCCCGATGAAGCAAGTTAAGATGACATGGCAATGTTCAGTTCACTTGCTGGAGTGCACATAATAATAAAACAACTGCAAGCACTGTGATGTCCTGAAAAGCCTATTCCATATAGTATGGGGATGCACACAAAGCCCTGCAGCTACTACACTAACCGAAGAGCAGTGGGATGCCAAGTTTTCAGACCTGGGCCTGAAGAATCAGCGCAGCATGGTTCAGCAGGCGTGGGAGATGGCGAAGGCCCCCGGCGACCTGTAATAAGAAGGCCGCCCTCCTTGCACTCATAATGCGTTTGCTCAAAAAGAAGTTTATTCTCTCCCTCTTTTCCTAATCTTAGGCCAAAGAAAAACAACATGCTTTACCCAATATTAAATGACGTAGGAATGAGGATCTATAGAATTGGCCTATAGGCACCAGCATTTTGTTGACCATCTTTATTCTAGGCGTCACCTCGTCAGGAAGAGAAAAGCGAAATACTTTTTCATTTCTTGATGGAATAATAGGCAACACGTCATTATTAAGTAATAAGGTGCAGGTTTAAAAAACCTGACAATATTAAACTAACTTACGAGTCGCCCTACAGCTCAAATGGGAAGCGGCTAAGTTGTCGAAACTTGTTCTATATATAGATACTTACCTACTTTTCCAGAGTCATACCAGGACGCTGCTTGCGTATACTACCACCGCGAGGTATACAAGGCATAAAGGCGTACTTGCAGTGTGAAGCCAGACCGCGACGCGCACGTGACGTTGAGCAAGTGGCTTATGCTGGTAGATCGTTTCACCGCACACGCAGACAATTAAGGTTCCGTTCGCTTTGAAGTTTGACGCAATATCCATATTTTTTGCTCTAGACATGCTGCACAATCACGCTAATGGTAATGAAAAAGTCGTGTTTGGCGCCCGTACATTGGTCCTCTGTATCCTCGCGTGAAAGAAAAAAATATAATTATTTTGAGTGGCACGCGTCAAGCCAACGCTGTGCGCGTGGCCCGAACATAAACATTTGGCACCGGACGTTATGAAATTCTTGCTATACCGCAGCCGTCTTCCCGCCTGCGCCCTAGCTCATGTCGTCCAGACCACTCATCTTCCTAATTGAAGAACTTCCACTGTGCGACATAGCTCGATGTTAATTTCAACCGTTGCTGTGAACGGACTGGGGGAGGGGTGGAAAGAGGGCTTCGGGAAACGTAGGTTTACTGCCGTCCAATATCATTGTGCATCGTCGTTAACCTTTTATATCTAGCTGTGGCTGTTTCGCGACATAGAGAATTTAATGTTATGAATCTGGAAATAAAATTTCCAGAACATAGGAATCACACCACAAGGAATATGAGCATACTTCAAATAACTGAAGCGATTTCCTGCCCCATGACAGGTCCATTCATAATGTGAAGCTGACAGTGACATCTATTACATACTCCCCCTTCATACTGGGGGTTTTACGTCCCAAAATTGCCATACGGCTATAAGAGACACCGTGTAAAGGGCTCCGGAAACAGCAACTTGTGTAAACTGGGGCAACGGCTCCATTGTGGGTGTGCTAATTTTGAATGATGTGTACGCACAGCCACCCAAATCATTAACTGGCATGTGCGAGCAGCGACTTTTTTTGTGCGTCAGCATGGTAACGGAACTGATTTGGGGCGAGGGTAAGCGCATGGCCACAAAGCGTGCTTGGCTGAGTAAGTAAGTCGTCTACTAGGCTCTTCCTTCGTAAGGACGCCACCCCCATATTAGTACACTTGTACAGACAGCGTATATAGGCAAATAGCTTGGCTCGTATTTTAAATGCGAAGCATTTCTTAACGAACTTCGACGACTTTAACCATATCTATCTATCTATCTATCTATCTATCTATCTATCTATCTATCTATCTATCTATCTATCTATCTATCTATCTATCTATCTATCTATCTATCTATCTATCTATCTATCTATCTATCTATCTATCTATCTATCTATCTATCTATCTATCTATCTATCTATC